TCGAGAAGCAAAGACAGTGGTTGTACCCAGCACGTCCAGCTGCGCCGTCTGGTTCTCAGAGCCCGCCTTGTTGGTGGCGGTGCAAGTGTACTGTCCACTGTGCCTCTCGCCCACAGGCTCGATGCTGAGCGAGCTGAGCCGAGAGCTCAGCTTGTTTACTTGGACGCCGTCGCCCGAATTGAGCTCCACGCCGTCCTTGCTCCAGCGGATGTCCATGGGCAGGTCCCCCTTCGGCACGGAGCACTGCACGGCCGCCGACTCGCCCGCGTTCACCGGGTACTCCCCGAATGACAGTGGGGAGACAGCCGGGGCGACTAAAGGGAGGGGAATGTCAAGTAAGCTCGGAGTTCAACTCCCACTAGAGGAACTTTCTTTTCACTGCAAGCTGCGAAGGAATCGACGACGGTGTCGAGACAGACCTTTTCCCATGAAACGAATCAGCCAAACAGGAAGGGAGGGAATGAAAGGTGTGGTTGGCAAGCAAAGGGATCATGCTGCAGAGGGTAAAATGGGGCCAGAACGCGCCACTACGTCAAATAGCTGACAAACGCTACAGCAGTGTCATTCCACGACGAGTACCCAAAACGTCCAGCTGCGTCGTCTGGTTCCCGGAGCCCGCCTTGTTGGAGGCCGTGCACGTGTATTGGCCGCTGTGTCGCTCGCTGGCCGATTCGATGCTGAGAGAGCTCAGTCGCGAATTCAACTTGTTGACCTGGACGCCGTCGCCGGACTTGAGCTCCACGCCGTCCTTGCTCCAGCGAATCTCCATGGGCAGGTCGCCCTTGGACACGGAGCACTGCACGGCCGCGGACTCGCCCGCGTTCACCGGCTCGTCGCCGAAGGACAAGGCCGAGACGGCCGGGGCGACTACGGAAAAGCATTCTGTCACCCGTGGGTTCAACTCCCACTAGCGGAAGTTTTCGGTTTCGCGTCCAACGTGAAGGATTCAACGACGAGAGCAACGATGGACCGACTTTCTCAAATTAAATAAACAGGACAGAAAAGGAAAGGAGTTGGGATAGGAGGGGAAACAGGTGGGATACAAGCAAGGGGTTCATGCTGCCAGGCGCTAAGACATGACACAGAAGTATCGATCATCGGTCTGCAAGTACCCAGCACGTCCAGCTGCGCCGTCTGGTTCCCGGAGCCCGCCTTGTTGGTGGCGGTGCAAGTGTACTGTCCGCTGTGGCGCTCGCCGGCCGCCTCGATGCTGAGCGAGCTGAGCCGCGGACTCAGCTTGCTGACCAGCACGCCGTCGCCCGACTTGAGCTCCACGCCGTCCTTGCTCCAGCGGATCTCGATGGGCATGTCGCCCTTGGCGACGGAGCACTGCACGGCCACGGCGTCGCCCGCGTTCACCGGGTCGTCGCCGAAGGACATGGCCGGCAGCACGGGCGCCACTAGGGGAGGGAACCGCGTGAGTTCGGGGTTCGAGACCCACCGGGGAAGGATTTTTTTCCGCGCAGGTTTAAACACAGAGCCGCCTGGAAAGACCTACACCTAACGGGGCGGGGTTGGGGGAAGGTCAGTATACAAGCAGCAAAGGACAGTCAAGAGGGAAAGTACGTCTACACTAGAACAGCAACACACCACTACTAGGCGGCGCACGGGGCGCTCTTGTCTACGGCGACTGTACCCAGGACGTCCAGGCGCGCGGACTGGCTCTCGGCGCCCGCCCTGTTCGAGGCCGTGCAGGTGTAGTTGCCGCGGTGGCGCTCCGCCACGGACTCGATGCTCAGCGTGCTGATGCGAAGCCCCAGCTTGTCCACGCGCACGCCGCCGCCAGACGAGACCTCCACGCCGTCCCTGCTCCACGAGATCTCCACCGGCATGTCGCCCTTGATGACGGAGCACTGCACGGCCACGGCGTCGCCCGCGTTCACCGGGTCGTCGCCGAACGACAGCGGCGAGATGACCGGCGACACTAAGAGGAGGAAGTCGCAGTACTACAGTCCGGGGTTCGACTTCCAGCCGTGGAAGATGTTCTTTTCTTGGTTGAAAAACGCTGTCGCAAATGTGTTCCTTTGTGACCTGAATTGTGGGTGTGAGTGTGTGTGTTAGGGTGCTAGGGGGGTGGGGGTAGGAAAGGGGAGAGAGCAAGTTATTTTTAAAACTTTGGAAAAATAATAATAATAATTTTCAAAAAAGGTTTGGGCAGGCAGTCAAAACTACCATTCATCTAGTGAGACTCTAGCCCAGCGGCCCTCAACCTTTTCCAACTCCATGGATGGCGGAAAAAATAATCGGGACGCGACAGCCTAAATTCAGAAAATGCACTTGGTCTGGCGACCCTCCGCGACCCTAGGATCATAAGATAGGTCGGAGCAACCGAAACGTGACCCTGGGCTGGAACATGCAACCCCAAAAATATTTTTCCGTGACCCCGAGGTTGAGAACTGCTGCTCGAGCCAGAGCCCATGCCGACGGCCGACAGGTCGGAAGGCCCAAAGGTGCACGTCACCTATGACATTGAGCACGGCGGCCTGGGAGTCCTTGCCCACCACGTTGGCGGCTGCGCACACGTACTCGCCGCTGTGGCGCGCGGCCACGGGCTCGATGCTGAGCGTGCTGATGCGCTGCCCCAGCTTGCCCACCTGCACGCCGTCCACGCCGGACACCAGCTTGACGCCGTCCCGGAACCAGGCGATGCTCATGGGCATGTCGCCCTTGGGCACGGCGCACTGCGCCGCCGCCGCCTCGCCCGCGTACACCGGGTCCTCGCCGAAGGACAGCCCCGCGATGTACGGCGGCACTAGGGGAGGAGGGAGTCTAAGTCAGGGGTTCGATTCCCAGTGACTCCGCTTTTTTCGGTGTGAGGGGAGGGAAACGTAGACTATGACAACGCGGACCTAACAGGCATTTTTAAATAAAACAGGAGCAAGAAAACGGAAGGGAGGAAGGGAGAAGTGGGATGGACATAGGCAGTACACACACCAGCAAAAGCAGCAATACCCTACAGTGCAGTCGCCCACTCGCACTCCGGGGTCACCTATGACGTTGAGCACGGCGGCCTGGGTGTCGTTGCCCGCCGCGTTGGTGGCCGTGCACCGGTACTCGCCGCTGTGGCGCGCCTGCACCGCGTCGATGCTCAGCGTGCTGATCTTGAGGCCGGCCTTGGACACCTCCACTCCGTCGTGGCTGCCGGCCTTGACCTCCTTCTCGTGCTGCAGCCCGCGGCCCGCGAACGTCCACCGCACGCGCACCGGCTGGTCCCCCTTCACCACGGTGCACTGCACGGCCGTCGTGTCGCCCTCGTTGATGGGGTCGTCTCCGAAGGACATGGCGGACAGCAGCGGCGCCACTAGGAACACGGCGCGGGTTCGAATCTCGGTGGGGGAACGCTTTCTTCGTGAGAAATTCCTAACACGAGGTGGTGTGCGCTGGAGTCCAGGATCAACGTAAGGCAAAAAGGAGGAGGGAAAGGACGCGGTGAAAATAAAACTTAAAAAGCCAGAAAATGAAACAAACAAAAACAAACGGATGCTGGACATGCGGCAGGCTGCGTGCGGCGCGGTCGTCGACGGCCACCTTTGACGGTGAGGGGCGTGGAGTAGGTAGCGGCCGCCGCGGCGTTGCTGGCCACGCAGGTGTAGTTGCCCACGTGGCGCGGGTCCACGGCACCGATCATCAGCAGGCTCACGCGCTCCGCCAGCTTCATGACGGTCACGCCCCTGGCCGCGGCCGCGTCCGCGCCGGGGAAGTTCCACGAGATGTTGAGCGGCAGGTCGCCGCTCGGCACCACGCACTGCAGCTGCGCGATCTGGCCCACGGGCAGCGGCAGCTCGCCGAAGTAGAACGGGTTGATGGTGGGCGGCTCTGGAGTCGGACACCCAACGGACGGCAAGTTCATTTAATTTTGTCCCCTTCCCTTTCATTTCAGGCGGCTCTGTGCTGGACCATCGACAACTCAAATGCGAAAAAAAAACAACCAAGGAAAACGGCTTTGCAAAAGCAAAGGAGAGAGGATAGCATGGGTAAAGGAAGGAAAACGAAAAAAAAAAGCCAAAGGATCAATGCTCTAGAAGGACAGCCACAACTATGTCAACCGCAGAAATATCCTTGCAGGCCAACCGTTCACTAGGAGCTCTGCGGTGTAATTGGTGACTCCTGCAGCGTTCTTGGCAACACAAGTGAAGTTTCCGCTGTGCTCAGGCCCAACATAATTGACTGACAGCAAGACGGCCTTGTCTCCGAAAGGTACAGTGACAATGGCCAAGGCTGTGGACTTGATGTCTCCGCCATCAAAGTGCCACTCGATTTTGACTGGCTTGTCACCCTTCGGGACATGGCAATTCAGCTGGACACTTTCCCCGGCATTTACAGGACCCTCGAATTGGAAGGGTGTAATGTAAGGAGGAACTGGAATTCACCCAACAAAGAGAAGGATATTCAAAAGGACCATCGACAACTGAGGAAGGACCAGACAAAAATGACATTGAGCAAGACAGAACACATATGACCCTGAAAATATGCAAAGTGCCTCTAGCACGATCGAAAACAACAGCCAGGCATACCCCTACACATGAAAGATCACAGACTTACCTGACGATGACTCACTGAAATAATGGAATAAAATAGCACGAACACTTTGTACAAGAACCCTTGAAAAAATATAGGAAAAGAAAGAAAAATCTCCTTAGGCAACAGCTAATAGGGGTCACACAGGGGAATAGGGCAAACCAATATTTTCGACCTGAAAATTTATGTTCTATGTGATTGTAACAGCATTAGATGCAATAAAAAAATTCTTTTTCAATGGAATTCTTTATGAACTGATGTAAGGTTCCTCAGGCATTTTTGAATATTTCTGAATGCTGTTCTCAACCACAAAGAACAATGGAGAAGTTCCGAAGGTTAAATGAATAATACCATAGTAAAAACAATGACCTCAAATTTAAATTTTAAAAATTGTAATTTTTTTTTAAAAGAATTATTTGATATGTAAGACTTGTAAACAAAAGAGGTCATTGTCTGTACCATGGTGGAACTTTGTGACTTACCCATGACTTGAACTTCCAGGTTGCCTTTCACCAAAAATCCTTGTTCATTCTGAACGACACATGTGTAAGTTGCTTGGTCAGACTGCCTCTCAACATTTTCAATGATCAGGGTGCCGTTGGGGAAAACTTTCTGTTTGCGGTTAATAGGAAGGGTACGTCCATCTGCAAAAATATTAAAATGGAACCAACATTAGTAAAGCTAATTTTTAAAAGAAAAACATTTTAAATATAAAATAAAATGAACAATAATGATTACCTCTTTCCCAAGTAATAGACTTGATTGGGTAACCAGCCGCAGGGCAGGTGACGAATAAAGTTTCTCCAGAAACAATTGCTCGCTTATCCATGGGACGAATGAATGGAACACCATACACATTGAGCCTCTCAGCATGTTCAACGGAGCCAACTTTGGATGAGGCGATGCATTTGTAAAGACCACCATCAGCCGTTTGGATGGAAGAAATGTTGAGGTGTGAAACCACATTGCCGTTGCCATTCATTTTCAGGTACTGTCCGACTTGAATCCTCTCCCTGCTGGTCAGCTTCTTTCCGTCCAATTCCCAGGAGATCTCAGGCGTTGGGTTTCCAGAGGCAACACACATGAGATGTACAGGTGGTCCAGGCTGGAGAGTCTCAGAGGAGAAGGCGTGAACAATCTGAGGGGGGTCAACTGCAAACGAAGAAACAAAATAAATAGAGAGCTCCGCAAACACACAACAAATTATGTATACCCCATCTGCCATTCACACTTACATCGGCTTCCAAGTTTCAGTTCAGCACTGGCCTGTGCGCTTTCCTGGTCGTTGCGAACAAAACACTGGTACATGCCCTTGTCTTCTTTCTTGACTGCGTCAATTCGAAGCACTGGTCCATCGAGGTTGAGCGACCGTCCGTCCTTGCTCCAGGTGATGGTGCGCACAGGGTTGCCCTTGTAAACGCAGTTGAAGACAGCTGGTCTGCCGAAATCTACAGTCTGGCTTTGTGGTTCAATCGTTGCTGACAAGGGTGCTGAAAAAAAAACGTAAGAAAATATTAGTTCCAATTTCTGCAAATTTGACTGGTTGAACAACAGACAGTAAGCAAAGCAATGGGTTTAGGCAGCCATACCTGTGACGGTGAGGACCGTCTCCACGCTCTCGCCTCCCACGGTGTTGTTGACGACGCAGAGGTACTTGCCGGAGTCCGCCACGACGGCCTCCTTGATGATGAGGGTGCCGCTGACCTGCTTGACGCGTTCGTTGAGGGTGACCGCGCGCTTGCGGGAGCTGCCTTCTTCGAACTTGTACCACCTGAAAGCATAGGCCGATGTCAAGGCTGGTCCGGGAAGACCTTTCCAGAGAGGCGAGATAGTCCCATCTCTAAACAAGATGCACGTTTGTCATCCATACAGATTTAGGTACATCGCTCTAAGTCGACAACCAACCGTCTGCTGATGTAAACACGTGCACCGAGTCTATCGATGAAGCTAGCTGCCTCTTTCAGGAATGATCTTCAGTGAACTTGAAGTACTTCATTTCAACTCCCCACATAAATGACCCATCCATTGAGTTTGTTACTGCAAACGGTAAAATCCATTGAATGACAAAGGGGCTGAACTTCTACAGTTGAAACGATCGGCGGCAACCGGAACTAGGAAGACGCGAGGTCTGCCTCTGTCTCTCTCTTACTCTCTTACCGGTAGAAGGGGACGGGGAAGCCCTGTCCGGGACAGAGCCCGACGAACGTCTCTCCGACCCTCACGCCCTTCACCTCAATGCTCTTACTGGAGACCCGCGGCGGGACGGACCCCGTTGGCTCTGCAACGTGGCAACATCCGCGGGCACATTCAAACCTGCTGCTTCCGGTACGGACCGGAAGTGAGCGGCCTTTCCGCGGGAAGGGAATCCCTGTGAGCCAACGGCGTCCAATATCGCAAACCCTTCACTTACCTGTTCCGCCGAGGAGGGCGGTGAAAATTAGTGAGAAACTCGTGGTTGGTCCAACCTGACTGGACCTAACCTGACCTAACCTACACCCGCCCTGCGTTACCTGTAGAAGGGCACGGGGAAAGCTTGGCCGGGGCACAGGAGTGCCACATCGCGCCCCGAGTCCACGTCCTTGAACTCGATGCCCTTGCTCGTGATTTTGGGCCGCATCGTGTTGGTGGGCTCTGCAAAACGCGTGGGTGGCCGGAGCGTTGCCTCAATGTTGTGAACGCAGCGTACCCGCACTGCTAGCGTGCCTGAATGCCGTGGATGGTCGGTACTCCCTACTCCCTGTGGCTGTGGCCGCCGCGCCCCGTGTCTCCACGTCGCCTACCTGGAGTGCGGCACCGGGAAGGCCTGCGCCAGGCACAGCAGCGTCGCGTCGCGGCCTGCCTGCAGGGTCTTCTCGTGGAGGCGTCCCTCGGGCACCCTGGGGGCCACGCTACTCGTCGGCTCTATCGGCGAAGACGGAGGGAAGGGGTAACAAGGCGAAACGCCACGCCCGACTCGCGGCAAAAGGGTCCCTCCCTGACGGCCACTGCTTCCGTGAGTGTGCGGACTTACCTTGGCCGACGCCGAGGACGCCGAGGAGGCCGACTTACCGGAAACGCGGCACTGGGAAGGCGGTGGCCTGGCACGGCAGGAAGACGTCCACGCCCTGGGCGGCGAGCACGATCTCACCGCCCTCGTACTTCTTACCGGGCGCCTTGGGGGCGATGTTGCTCGTGGGTTCTGGCGATCACGGTTCTTGCTCAGAACGCGCACTCTGGCGTGGCCTGAATGTCGGTCGGGGCGCGCGCGTGTGTGTGTGTGTGTGAGTGTGGCGGCGACAGCGCGACACGGACCTGTACCGCGGGACGGGGAAGCCCGGCACCTCGCACAGGATGACGGCGGTGCCCCCCCTCGTCACGTCCAGCACCAGGCTGCCGTCGATGCGACGGCCCGCCAGCCGCGGGGGGATGTTGTTGGTGGGCTCTGGGGGACAGCGGGCAAAGGACTGACCTGAACACCGGGACGGGGTACCCGGCCACGGGGCACAGCAGCAGCGCCAGGCTGCCGGTGGCGAAGCTGAGCAGACGGCCACCCTCGTACTTCTCCCCGGAGGACTTGGGCGCGATGTTGCTTGTGGGCTCTGCAAGACGGCGGCAGTGGCGGTGTCTGTGTTTCTGTGTGCCTAACCCGTCGCCTGAATGTTGGGACCCGAGGACTTCTGCAGTGTAGCAGCGAATACCTGAAGAACGGCGGCGGCGAGGCCTGCGCCGCGCACACCAGGGAGACGGCCGCTGCGGCGCGCACCAGCTCGCGCTTCGACCCCACCTTGGTGTCGCTGAGACGGGGGGCAACGCTAGCCTGGGGCTCTGTAAAGACCACACCCATCTGCACGACCTGCCTACCTAGTGGAATCGTCGCCTGAGTCGGGAAGGGCGCTAGGGTTGCCGACTGTACCTGAAGGCCGGCGCGGGGAAGCCCTGGGCGGCGCACAAGAGGGACAGGGTGGCGCCCTGCTCCGCCACGCGCAGCATGCCCGTCACGTCCTTGACGCTCACCCTGGGGGCCATGCTGGTCTGGGGCTCTGCAAGGACGTGGCCAACCTCACTCACACACGCGCACGCACGGTTGCCTGAATGCGGGACGGGACGGCGATACTCCCTGCCCGACTGCACGCACTTTTGTCTGAATGCGGGACGGGGCGGCGATACTCCCTGCCCGGCCGCGCGCACGGGCAGCACGGGGTACCGCCACTCGCCACTCCACTCACCGGAAGCCGGGCACGGGGAAGCCCTGCGCGCTGCACTGCAGGAAGGCGTGCTTGCCGCCGGCCACCTCCATGCGCACGCCGTTCGAGAACTCGCTCTTGACGCGCGGCTGCACGCTCGTCACGGGCTCTGAAGGGAAACGCTGGCATGTAGCCAAACCCTACGGGAGCCGAACCCCGAGGACGCTCCCTCACCTGAACGCTGGGATAGGGCGGGGCAGGGTAGAGAGTGTCGCCTAGTAGTGCCTTTTCTCCTTTTTTTATTTTTTAAGAATTATGGGTTGGTTACGCTAACGTCCTCACCTCGTGTGCGGCGTGGGCCAGCCTTGCCCCTCGCAGGGGATGGCCAGGCTGCCGGCCGCCGCCGCAGTCGTCCCGGACGGCCTCCAGACTCCAGTCGCCTGGAGCCTGGCGGGCAGGCCCGGCCCCACCATCGGCCCGGAGAGCTCTACGGACGAGTACATGCAGCATGCAGCGCGAAGAGGCGTCACACAGTGAGCCGGAAGACCGGTGGCGCCGGCCAAAATGCTGGACGCGTTTTGGACCCCGGAGTGGCTAAATGGGACTCGAACCGAACGTGTGACCCCACCAACGGATTGCTCTCCGAATGAGGAATCGATTGGTGGGGACACTCGTTCGGTTCTAGTCGCATTTAATGACTCTGGAACACGAAACGCGTCTTGAGTTTTGGCCGCCTGCACCGGTTTTCTGGCAAACTGTGCGCTAGCGTCTGAAGAGGCATTGGAGAGGCAGTGAAGAACTGAGGCCGCAGAATCTCCACAGCCCCCAAAAAGATCCCCCAGACACGCTTGCCGCTTCTCCTTACTGGGCCAATGCGCGGAACAAAAACATCCCCCTCTCTCTCGCACCCCGTGGGAACGCCCCATGAGTGCGACAGAGACAGGGCGTGGCGACGTCTTTTCAGGGAGCGCCTGCGAACCTCGGGTAGGCAACCCCAGTGCACGCGTGCCCGCTAGCGGCCTACCTGCCGGGCGCTCCGGCTAGCGCCTGCGAGCCTCGGGTAGGCAACCCCAGTGCACGCGTGCCCGCTAGCGGCCTACCTGCCAGGCGCTCCGGCTAGCGCCTGCAAACCTTGGGTAGGCAACCCCAGTGCACGCGTGCCCGCTAGAGGCCTACCTGCCGGGCGCTCCGGCTAGCGCCTGCGAACCTCGGGTAGGCAACCCCAGTGCACGCGTGCCCGCTAGCGGCCTACCTGCCGGGCGCTTCGCATAGCCGCAGAAATAGTTATCCCACTCATTGGCTCAGCATCGAAAAAAAAATGCAAAAAACAGCAACGCCCGGTTGACGTACTGGACAGGACATGAAAGAACAAAAAGAACATAGAGAGATTTGTTTTTTAAAATCCCGTCTTTTCCAAAAACAAACGAAAAGACAGAGTGGAAGCTACACGACACGAATAACTACGACGTCTTACTGTGACACACTCGTGCGACTCGGAAATTTACATTGAATTATTTACATGATGTCGGTATGTACACTGTACAGTGTGCACAAAATTCGGGCTACTCACCGGGGAAGCAGAACATGCAGACACGTTGACTTACTTGATTCGTGTCGGAGAGAGTGGGGAGAGAACGGACAGTACTTGAAGGCGGGCTAGAACGGACTGTACCTGAAGGCGGGCGCTGGGTAGGACTGGGCGTTGCAGAACAGGACAAAGGACTGGCCCTGGTGGCTGCGGAAGGACTCCGAGGTCCTGGACCCGGCGAACTTGGGCGGGGACGCGCCGATGGGCTCTGGGGAGTCCTCATCGTGAGACACAAGGGGACAAACGGCGGGCCGGGCAACGGGAAGGGCTCGTAGCGCAACGGTCACTCGTAGGATTTCCATCCACTTCAAGGGTCCGCGGTTCAAATACTGCATAAGCCTATTGCTTTTCCAAGTTTCAAATTGTTTATTTTTTGTTGCTGCTGCCCTTCCCGCGAGCACCCGGCCGCTCGCCAGACGCACCTGAAGTGTGGGACAGGGTGGCCCTGCGCTTGGCACAGGAGGGCGATGTGCGCGCCGACGGGCTTGGAGAACACGGTGTACTTGGCGGTGGGGGGCACGTTGGGCGCCGCGCCGCTCACGGGCTCTGCAAGGGAGCGCGTCGTGGAGGGTCACGGCCTTACCGCCTTACCTGAAGTGCGGGATAGGGTGGCCCTGGGCCGGGCACAGCATCGCGACGGCCGCGGCCTCCTCCTTGCTCAAGACCGTGATCTTGGACGTGGCCGTCACCTTGGGGGCGGTGCCGCTCACGGGCTCTGCGGTGCACGCAGCAAACCTGTCGCTCTGTCTCTCTCGCACTCTCACGGAGTGTCTTTATGAGTGCGACAGAGACAGAGGCCCACGGTGTCGCGCCTGAACGCGAGGACAGGGTACCGCCTGGAGTCCGGGAACGTGCACCGGCCCCATCGGCTTTGGCTCCGCCCGTGAGCGAAAGGACGTGAACTCTCGTGTTCAAAAACGGGATTTTGTTTTTAATTTTCTAATAATGTTTATTAAATTAGGGAGATTTGGCTAGCCGCAGGGTGGTCAGGGTGGTTGTGGCGTGGGTCGCAGGTTCAACCCCGGCTCACCTGAAGGACGGCACGGGGTGGCCTTGCGCGGGGCACAGCAGTGTTATGGCCGCCCCGGCCGGCCGCACGAACGCGCTGCTCTTGTCGTCCGTCGAGAAGGTGGGGCCCTTGGTGCCGACCGGCTCTGGGGGCGGACAGGAGGTTGGGAATACTCCGCGCGACAGACTCGCAACGCGCGGGGTATCGCCGCCTGAACGAGGGCTTGCCGGGCCTGCCCGCGCTTACCTGGTGGTGGGCACTGGGAAGCCCTGCGCCTGGCACAGCAGCCCGAAGCTCTGCCCCGTGGAGCGCTCGAACGAGCGGCTCTTGTCGTCCGTCGAGAACTTGGGGGCCTTGCTGCCGACGGGCTCTGAGGGGAGGAAGGGCGAACCGGGTGGCGTGAACCGCTGCAGATACCCCGCGCCCGAGGGGACTCACTACTCACTCTGCGAGGACGTTGCGAGAACGCGGGGTAGCGACGCGGCCTAGGCAGTCCTGCTGCGAGTCTTACCGGTAGGCCGGCACGGGGTAGGCCTGGGCGGGGCACAGCAGGGCGAAGCTCTGGCCTTGCCGCTTCTCGAAGGTGAAGCTCTTTGACTCGGTGGAGAAGCTGGGGGCCTTTGCGCCGACGGGCTCTGGGGCACGGCGATGTGGGGTGAGCGTGGGGGAGCGGGGCGAAACCTCGGGTGAAACCGTTACCTGGGGCGGGCCGGGGTAAGTCCTGCAGCATCTTACCGGTGGCTGGGCACGGGGTAGGCCTGGGCGGGGCACAGCAGGGCGAAGCTCTGGCCGAGCCGCTTCTCGAACGACGAGATCTTAGACTCGGTGGAGAAGGTGGGGGCCTTGGCGCCGACGGGCTCTGCGCGCCAACATTCGACATTTCGTTTCGAGCGACGCAGCGAAAACCGTCGCCTGGCCGAAAGGGCATCCCTGTCCTGCTGGTCTCTCCTCCCCTTTTCCATCTGAGCGTCTTACCGAAACGACGGCACTGGGAAGGCCTGCGCGGGGCAGAGCAGCGCGAAGCTCTGGCTCTGGCGCTTCTCGAAGGTGATGCTCTTGCCCTCCGAGGAGAAGGAGGGGGCCTTGGCACCCACGGGCTCTGAGACACCAGGGGGTTGCACGTCGAGGAGGTGGACGAGTAAACCCCGTTGCTTTGGTCGGTTCCAAGGGCCCATGTTAACCTCGACGACACAACTACGCTAGCCTCGTCGATACCCCGGCTCTGTCGCGGGGGGTAGCGACGCGGTCTGCAGTCTCACCGGTAGGCGGGGACGGGGTAGGCCTGGGCGGGGCACAGCAGCGCGAAGCTCTGGCCGAGCGGCTTCTTGAAGGTGGAGCTGGTCGACTCGGTAGAGAAGGTAGGAGCCTTGGCGCCGACCGGTTCTACGGGGACAACGCGAGGACTCACTAAGGTCGCCGTCGAGGACACCCCGTCAGCTGAGGACCCCTGACTTGCGAAGGAGGACCGGGGAGGGGAAGCGTGTGACTACCCAGGGAAGTCCCAGTGTCGTGGAGTGGCGACGTAAGCGCTTACCGAAAGCCCGGCACGGGGAAGGCCTGCGCGGGACACAGCAGCGCGAAGCTCTGGCCCTGGCGCTTCGTGACGGCGAAGCTCGTGTACTCCGTGGAGAAGGACGGCGCCTTGGCGCCGACGGGTTCTGCGAGGATCGCGCCAAGGTTCGAGAGTGCGAGACTCGTGGTCGGCCTACCTGGATGCGGGATAGTGGGCCCCGGCGGAGCTGGCGGCCAGCTGGCGTGTTACCTGTAGTGCGGAACCGGGAAGGCCTGCGCGGGGCACAGCAGCGCGAAGCTCGTGAG